AGAAAAGAACGAGCACGAGGGTTGGAGCGCGATCCGATCGCTTATCTTTCGATTTTGTTGGACAAGGTGAGGATTAGAATTTTCATGTGCATCAGCATCAGAGATTTTTGAGGCTTTTCATGAAAATTAAGCAAATTAATGAATTAAATATTTTTTTGGCATGATCTGATAGTTCGTGATCTCTTCCGCCATATTTTCAATTTTCAGGTAGTCGTCGGCAGCTCTTCCCTCCACTACAAAGCGTTCGATCACCTCTACCCGTATGCCATGTCAAGAAATGCTTATCTCGACGCCTATGAGAAAGAGTTGAGCCATATTGAGGGCTAACCGACTCCAAATTTTCCATTTTACCTTAATTATTTGCATTTATCCACATAATTCCGATATTTTTTGTCCTCCTCCTCTGTACACTCGCCCGGGCTATCAGCTGATATTTGCATTTTTCTTTGCCACTTGCTATTACTTGGGAATATTTATTCGCTTTACAAGCAGTTTTGCTCAATTTTTCAAGTGCGACCCGCCGCTGCAATGTATTGCCATGATTCCAATTTGTCAAGCTTTATGGTCATGATTTTACTCATGTTTTACCAGACATGAATTAAGTGCTTTAGCCTTGTATGAATTTGGCAACAGGACTTTTAGCGACCCGAAAATACCCCCATGATGGGATTCCTAACGTTACTTTACGCGACCGTACGCCACCATGCGAGACGATATGCTTTGCTAGACGAAGATACGATACGCTACACTACGATACGCAACAATACGTTACACTCTGTTACGTCACACCACTCTACGCTGCGCTACGATACGTTGCACTCCTACGCGACGATACCGCATCCTATCACACTACACATCGGATGTCGTCATCGACTGTACGGTTTTATAGGCTTGACCAATTTGTTGCGATTGGCCATCTCCGAAGCTTGTGCGTGTGGTCAATGCCTAGAGCTATGCGGCCTCGATGGTTCACTTGACGCTCTTGTCTTGAACGCCGTCATCACAACCATTTGGGCCACGCTGGCTGCTCTTGGACGAACGCTGACCACTGAGGAACGTTTTTCTCTGAAATTACGATGTTATTCCCTATATAACTCTCTCCCTCTCTCTCTCTCTTTATCTCTCTCTCTCTCTCTCGCTCTCCCTCTCTTCTTCTCTCTTCCCTTACCCATGAAAAACAATCTGGAAGCATCCATAACTTTTGATGGCGTCTCGGATCCTCCTAAAAATTTAAGTTTATGGCTTTTTCTTAGCGGAAATACCTATTAAAAGCCAGCATAATATAGGGATTAATCCCGGACCATAACACCCAAATAAAATTGGACGCAAAATAAGCGCCTGGGCTATCCGCTATCGGACAATACGTCCAGATACAGTAGCCGAAGATACTGTAGGCGGAGATGAAGAAAACCTGGAAATGGGCTTAGGTTTGGCTTAAGTTACTTAAGCTTAGTTTGGCCTTAGGTTTGGGCCTAGCTTAGGCTTGGGCTTAGGCTTGGGCTTGGCTTAGACTAAGCCTAAGCTTACCTGTAGGGTTAGCAGCAACTCCTTGCCGGAAGATACGCTTTTCTGAAAACTTTTTTATGATAGCGTTTGAGCGGACTTACAGCAAACACAAAAGTGAAAATAATAACGTAGGAAATGGCAGCTAAAACGACCTCGGCAATAATTAGATTATTGCTGAATTCACGGATGAAGCCGCCGGCTGGGTAACCCTCCTAAAATTGATAAAAATGGATGCAGATTGGTTTAAAGGAAGCATGGAACGGAAAAACGGAAAACCAGCCAATAATCGCTTGAAAAACTCACCAGATATTGAAAAGTATAGGATGGCAATACAAAAACAAAAAACGAAGCGCCACTCAAGTCCAAAATCGCGATAATAAGGAAGAACATCCAACAAAATGCCATGCAGGCCTAAAAATGGAGCCTTTTGTAAATAGGTACATAGTAGTCAAATTTTCTCCTGTTTGGTTTTTTTAAGTTTCGGTTTTTAGATGAAATTTTGATAACTTCTAAAAGCAAAACTTACATAGAAAACAGATTCTCGAAAGATATTCCTATATTTCCCAAAGAATACAATAAACACGGCTCGATTCATAGCCAGAAACGCGGTATGCACCAGGCTGGTGCACCACATCCCGTTCATAATTGCGCCGAGGAACTGAAACCAATCATGATTTCTACTATTCCTGCTTGCCAAGCTTTTTCCAAATAGAGGTTTTGTGCTACGAGCAAGATTAGGTCGGAGGAATCTTTTAAAGGGGGCGTGACATCACAATTTCTAGCGCGCAAGGCGCTGTACCTGTTCCAACCATCCATAGCCCTCTACTTGTAGTATCAAATAAACCCCAGTGGACGCATGAACGAGTAACTGCGCGGAATCCGCGATTCCGAGATGAAACATGATGCGTTGGGAGTGGTTTTGTTTGTAGTCTCGTTCGGTGTTGATGATCTAAATAAAAGACCAAAGTTCATTGCGATTATTTTTTTACTTTTCAGTCCGTTTAGGGCCATTCTTTAGCGCTTACCCTCAATATAAATGCATATAGGAAAAAGCTGACTAGCGAAAACACAAGCGTTAATATCCCAAAGCATAGCTCCCGTGTATAGTCGTCGCCCATAGCCGGAACAAAATCAGCTTCAGCCGCTTCACCCGTGTATCCATTTACAATAAATTTTACCATTCCTAAAAATAAGAAAATAGAGAGAAAGAGCGAGAGAAAGAGAGAGGGAGAGAGAGAGGGAGAGATAAACAGAGAGAGAGGGACAGAGAGACAGAGAGAATGTGTATAGAAAGAATAAAATTGATATGAGTCGGACCATAGTAAAGTTTGGATTTCTATAGGGCTCTAAAAAGTCATCCGGTCCGGTCATTCAGTTTATTTTTTCACACGCCTGACTTTGCACAAAATATTCCGCTTTTAGATGCAGATCGGCGTGGGATTTGCTAAATTTACGTAGTTCCAGCAGCAAGTACTACGGTACAAGGTCCAAAATCTGGAATTTGTGAATTCCCGAAAAAGAAAAACTGGAGACGGCCGACGTCATGAGAAAAGTCTAGATAAATGTCAAGTGCCTTGTTGAAATATATATAACTTACTACCAGAATTCCCCAGAGCAAAGCCCATCCAATCAGGGGCATAACAATAATAGATCTATGTCGTAAATTATTCAGGATATTTTGAATAATATATTCTGTTTGTCTAGGGTTTTCAAAGGTCATTACGGGAGGTGTATAATATGGAAGTTGTTGAAAAGTAGGAGAGAATTTAAAATTCGGAACTTCCCAAAAATAGAAAATTGCAAGTTTTGGAAAATCTGGAAATGCTTGTTTTCGCGTTCGATTTCAAAACGGCGAAAATTCTATAATTACAGAGTCCCTTTAGCCTGAACAAAATTGAAACTGCAGAGAATTCGAACGAATCGATTTAAAACCTCTTCTTAATGCGCATCTAAATTTTCTTAAAACTGCCAATTTCCTCAGAAATGTCTCAAGTTTTCAGAATAAAAATTGGATTACAAAAGTTGAAAAATCTGAAACCTAGGGTGAAAGTGCCTGTTCCAAACTTCCCAATTTTAAATTTGCCTTAAAATGTCTATGTCTTTGGCTCTAATATGTAAGCTGTCCGTTTTTAATGCTCTTTTTGCTATTAACTTTAGAAATATTTTATTATACACAGATTTTCATCAAGAATCCGATTCTCATCGATTTCTGTTTTGGCACACAGATTGTCATTAATGCATGGAGATTGGATAAGGCATTGATTTGTTGATAACTTGCAAGCGGAGGGAAGCACAATATTCCAAAAAAGGCAAATTCATGTGAAGGCAAAAACCAGGAGGATGAAAGCGTGTTTCGACAATAATTAGAATCTGATTTTTACAAAAATATTAAACAAATAATATTCCATTTAGCACCCATCACATTTGTGGAGACGTTTTCTGTCATGGGATTTTTCAGGAAGTGTCAATTTCCGGAAAAAGGAGGCGGGGCTGAAGGGGAGAGGCACTTCGTTGACTGACTGGGCTTAGGCTTAGGCTGAGGCTTAAGCTTAGCCTTGGTGGGAATGAGCTTTAGAGTAGAAAAAAAAGGTATGGATTTGCGTACGGCATCCGGTATTTTAAAGGGATTGTGAAGGCAAAAACGCACATTAAAAATCTAATTTGCCTAAAAACTACAGTAGAAACATCCAAACTCGATTCTTTTTACTTTTATTGCCTAAGAATTGGCAACTTTATCGTAGATTTTCATCTGTTTTGCCTTCAGTAGCCCTTTAAAATGTCTAATAACTGGAAGAAATAGGAAAAGGCAAGTTTCAGGGAATTTTACATTTTGGTGCCACAGAAATAAGCTAGAAAACTCTGGCGACTGCAAAAACTCCGTCTGGTTCCAAATTACACTTTCCGGAAATGGGTTCCGGGAACCAAAAAGCTCTCGGAAAAGCAAGGAATGGTTTCTGAAAATGGCACGAATGGACTCGGGTTTTTTTTGCCTGCAATGGCCTGCGTACGCTGCGTTTGCGTAAATTGGATTGGCGCGGCGGCGCCCGGGGCGCAATTATTTATGTTTTGCGCAACCAATATACGAAAATGAGCCCGATGTGGAGTTTGACATGAGCAGATTTTGCTGGGAAATAGGATAAATCCGATTCTTTGGCTTAAACGCGTCAAAAATGTCCTTAAAAATCTTTAATTTTGAGTTTTGCAGTCCAGCGATTTCTAGGTACTGTAGAAAAGTTCGAATTCGAAAATACGGAAACAAAATAATTCTGAAGTTGTTGAAACAAAATAAGGACATTTGAATACCTGTACAAACGAAATTTGAGTTTTTAAAAGGACTGGAAGCCAAAATTTCGGCCAATATTTTGAAAAATCCATCTAAACTAGATTTCAGCCTGCCGAGTCCCTTTAAAAGCCTAAAGACAAGCTCGAAACTGACGAGAAGGAGTCGAAGGTTTTGGAAACGGTATGTAAACATGACAAAATAGAGAAAATTATTGCCCCTCGAGGAGATCGGCGAGGAAGACGGAGAGGCTCTTGCTCATCTTCATTCCATCCAGGCCCTCAGAGATTTCTTGGATCGTGGACTTGTCGATCTTGTTGCCGTTGATGGAGGTGAGACGCTCGTGGACCTCGAGGTGGAGCTGGAAACGAACGGTTCTTAGAATTCGTTGTAAACGTAAAATTAACAAATTTGCCTAAAATTTAAAATTAAATGCGCCTGAACGCATCGCGGGTGCGTCGCGGCGAGCAGAAAAACTTTCTACCTGCTGGAACCGCTTCTTCCCCTTGCCATTCTCCGCACCACCTCCGGTTTTCATGAAGACCTCAATATTCCGGAACAGCTCATTTCCGGTGATGTCCGCCGGTAGTTTTCTTAGGAACCCGACAGCCACATCGAATTCCATATCGAGCAGCAGATCTTCGTGCATCTTCAGAATCCCGAGTGCTGTCTTGAAGAGGAACTCTTCTCCATCCCTGAAGAAGACGTCCCAGACTCGGCACGTCACATCGAGGGATAGGGACTTAGCGAAGGCGGTGTAGACCCTGAAAAAAGTACGGTAATTGGCTACGATAGTCCTGCTTAGGCTTAGTTTAGGCTTAGCTTAGACTTAGCTTAACCTTGGCTTAACTTAGGTTAGCTTAGCGTAGACTGAGCTTAGGCCTATCGTAGGCTTAGCTTAGGCGTAGTTTAGGCTTAGCTTATCCTTGAACTTACCAGTCAATGATGTAGATGTCCGGCCTCAAGTTCATCGCGTCAAAGTGGGCGTGAAGTTCGGGGAGTTCTTGGTGGAAGTACAGGTCGAACGCCACGAAGTACTCCGTCATTTGGGATTTGTTCAGGCGGAAGAAGGCGAGCTAAAAAAGAATAAGCATTATAAGGAAGTGTCTCTCCTAAAGGGACTTTGCTAGCTTGTTTCTTGTTTCTTTTCTTGTTTTCTTATCTTGTTTTAATGGTGTTAAATAATTAGTTTGGGTCGAAAAAAACAAATTTAGGAATTTGAAATGTATGGTACTCACCTGTAGAGGCTGATTCATCAAGTTGCTGAACGCGACGAAGGCGGGGAAGGGCTCCATCTGGAGGAGGAAGATGGCGGCGATGAAGGACATCGACTGGACGTAGCCGACGTCGGGGCGGTAGCAAGCGTAGGCGCCTGGAAAACAGGAAGTTAGCTCTCACCCCCTCTCACTCTCTCACTCTCTCTCTCTCTCTCTCTCTCTCTCTTTCTCACTCTAACGTACCTAACAATTTCGTGAGCAGATGCTGGTACGGCCCTCCTTCTTGAAAAATTCCAAGAGCCGGAAACGTCCTGCTGACGTCGAGCTGGATCTGGGCAACAGAAGCTTCACGATTGTAGCGTGCTTCTTTGGTTTCGCCGGTTTCTTGAATTCCATTGAGTCGGAGTTCCGCTCTCTCACAACAAATGTTGTACAGTTCTGAAAATAGGAATTTGGACTCTGTCGTTATCTCTCTCTCTTTCTCTCTCTCCTCTCTTTCTCCTCTCTTTCCCTTTCTCCTCACCTTCAGAAACATTCAACGCATTCCCGATAGCCAGCTGCCAGACTTTCCCTCGAACTTTGCTAGGTAGTCCTTTCCACCAAAGATCTCGGCACTTCCGGGTATCGAATCTAAAAAAACGGTTTTGCAGGTATACTCTTGAATTGTTGTTTTGTTAATTCTGAGACTTACGATGAGTTCCAATTCGGCAAAATCTCTTCATTCCAAGTTCTCGAAATTATCGCCAAGGCTTCTTCCGCTTTCTTCTTGTCTTCATGGGCTTTTCGTCTCTCTTTCTCGAGCTTCACGTCTTTCTTCTTTGCCTAGAAAGAAGTTAAATGTGTTTCCTTTATATGATTTCAGTAAATAAATTGATTGAATCTTCTACTACAATTGAAGTTTAAGGAAATATCGAGTAAATTTCCTTACCTGTTCCAACATCTGCTCGTACAGTAATCGATGTCTTGCCGATTCTTCTTCACTTTTTTGGGGCAAATTACTGGGTCGTTCTTCTAGGATCAACCCAGTGGTGTGCATTACGCCAGGATCCGTTTTCCGGTCCCCAAAAACTTTCCAACGTCCGCTTCGGGAGAAGAAGCCTCTGAAAAACCAAGCGTTTTGGATTTCTTTCGACGTTCATTGGTTTTACAGCTATTTTTAAACCGATTTTCAAACTTTGAAGTTACGGATTTTACAAGAAACCACAGCTTACCTCAAAATCGAAGACTTCTTCGGCGTGTTGGAGCAGGACGGCTGCTCGAGGTCAGCGAATTTGACTTCGGTTTTGCGCTCGGGCAGCTTCTCCTCATCTTCATGATGGGCGGAACCATTCGCCGTTACGTTGCAGCAAGAGGGAGAAGCCTCGGGCTGGGCGGAAGAGGGTTCTGTCATTCCGGGCCTGAAAATTTGTATTTTGAAGAATCTTAGCAGCTAAGCAATCAAAGACTACGAGTTTAAATGTAAAAACAAGCCTAAGCCTAATCCTAAGCCTAAGTCGAAGCCCAAGCCTATGCCTAAGCCGAAGCCTAACCTTAAGGAAAAATCAAAGGATTCAATCAATAAAACTCAGTTAAATTGCCTGCCAATTAGAGCCCGAAAACGCGTGGGGACGGTTTTAGGATGGTTTGCGTGGAAACACAAGCGGGGGAATCGGGACTGTCGGGCGATGGCGAGTGGACCGGATTTGCTTGGAACGGGAGAAGGGGGAGGGCGAGGGCGAGAGAGAGAGAGAGAGAGAGAGAGAGAGAGAGAGAGAGCAAGAAAACCACCTTTCTTGCCCCGAGAACCCATAAAAGAGGAATGCAAATAGATCGCGAGCAAGTTTCTGGTGGATGGGTTGACATGTCAAGTTTGACAAGTGCCTTTTTTAATAGAAAACGATACTTTAAGTGCGTTTTATTGTTCCTAATATTTATCTGCAAAAAAAGGTTGAGATTTTCAAGCAATTCCCAGTTGTTTCTAGGCTAATCTTCGTGGAAATATTGCCGCTGGCAATCGGGGAAAAACGCCCGGGGCAACGCATGGGACTACAGACTACAATGGAGGGTTGAGAAATGAAAGCGGCCGCTGACAAGAGTGAGGAGTGAGGAAGTAGAGTGTGAATGGAGCAGGGCTAGCAGTAATTCTTTGGGAAAATGGATTAGAACTCGGGATTTTGTCCATTCTAAAGTTTCAGGAAGCGTCAGTATTTTAAAAAAGCATTTAAGGGTCAAAAAGTCTAACTATACCCTCAAATTGACGTCATGCCGCTGTAAATATTTTTCAAAGACGTGTATGTAATTAAAGTCCCATTCAAGCTACACAATTTCACCCATGATCTGCGTCCATTATTTTCCTCTTTGTCACCATCCCTTTAATCTAGCTCTTTCTTAAGATCCCCCGTTCAATCCCCCTCCACTCAATGTCTCAAGCGGTGGAATGCCATTTGGCATGGGCTCTAATGGGTTCCCTGGTCGCCCCATCCATCTATGCCAGATTCTCCCCGTAGCAGCCCCGATTGGCCACTTGGCAACATTTTTCATCGGGAGGAGAGCTGGGGCTGATTGATACACAGCTGGTATCTGGGGAGCATGAGAGGCTGTTGCTCAGCTTGCATGCTGTGATTAGCCCGCCGGGATAAACGACAAAACAATCAATCAGAAAGGGTCGGGGGAAAGGGGGTAGATGAGGAAAAACGGGGAATTTCTAAACCTTTGCCTAAGCCTAAGTGGAAGTGTAGTTCTCAGCCTAAGCCTAAGCCGAAGCCTAAGCTTAGAGCTAAGCCTAGCCTAAGCAAAGAGGTAAGCCTAAGCACAGGCCTAAACCTAAGCCTCGCTCTAAGCCTAAGCCTAAGCCTAAGCCTAAGCCTAGGCCTAAGCCCAACTCACTTGATAATCGAGTTGTTCTGCATCGAAACCGCCCTCCGATTCCGGTCCTTCCTGGAGAAATCGAGCTGGATCTGGGCGCTCTCGTAGGAGGATCGCCGCATGTGGCCGCGCTTGAAGGGCTTGGCATCTACTGAAAAAAGGATAAGTTAGGGTTAGATTACAAAGCATAGAAATGGTTGTAGTTTTTAGAGGCCCCAGGAAGGCGAAAACCGACCCCCTTTCCCCTACTAGGTCTAGACACAAAAGCAACTCTAAGGCTTTGGTGTGTTTTTATAAAAATAGGCGTCATTTTGTGCTACGCGTAGCTGTCGAGACCTAGACACTTTCTGAGGTCGTATCTTGCACTTACTAAGTTCTTTAAGGAGACAGTGCCAGCTGGCTGGCTAGATCTAGTGGATATCTGGGGTTGATTCTGTCACTTACTAATCCCTCGAAACGTAGCATGCCAGCTAGCTAATATGCAAAAAGAAGACCAAATCCTCACCGTCGCTCCGATCACTCGACACGCCGTCGTGCAGTGATGAGGTGCGATCCAGGTTCCTCGTGTCCATATTATAGGCCAGGGGCAAATTCTCGAGCACGGTGGCCAGCGAGCTGCCGCCGGCGCCACCGAACGTGCCGCCGCCCGGGCCCGCCACTTTTTGTTGCGGCCGCAGTCTGGAAATAGTTTTCGATTAGATTAGCATCGCACGTCATGTCTGGGAATTTTTTGAAGAGGTTGAGAGCACGGTTATTCGAGATCGGAGTGGATAAAAGCATCAAAACGGATAAAAAAAGAGGGTCTTCATGAGTGGCGAATTTTAAAGAAATGGTGAAGGCAAAAGAGAACGCTTATAAAAAACATGAGGACCGAAATTGCGGAAATTTCAATACTACCGATGAAACGACTTGGGAAAACAAAAAAAATCCTATTTTTGGACGATAATTAGCATAAAAATGCGAAGAATATATGAGCAAATGCATAAAAATTTTTAGATAACTCGGAAAGTAGCTTCGAGGCGGCTTTAAAAGACCACGCAGGGCAAACCCATAGCAGTTTTAATAGAACTTCGCAGAAAAGATGTAAATAAATGTAAAAAATCAGCTTAAAAAGTAAAGAAAAACAAATTACTGCAGGACACGCCTTTTAAAGGGCCTTTTACAGCCTTAAAATAATTTTAAAAGTAAACCGAATGCAGAAAATCGTTTTTAGCAAGCCTAGCAGGCGGCTAAAGTCAACGAAAACACTACCAACTCGGACCCCCAAAAAGCGCCGCTGGAACTTCCCGATTAACCACCCTGCTGGCCCCGTTCGCCGGGTCATTTCCACTGTCCTTTTTCGGGGCGCCTTTTAGGGGTGGGGACGAGAGGCCCCCGGGGGTCCCGGGGGGAAATTGAAGTGGTTACCGAACCGTGTGGCCACCTAGAAAGAGTCTATCCTCTCTCTCTCTCTCTCTCTCTCCTCTCTCTCTCTCTCTCTCTCTCTCGCTCGAAGGGGCTTTTTATTTTTGGTGGCCTCGTTATACGAAAACGGGGCGGGAAAAAGAGAATGGAGAGGAAAGGGGAGGGCATTGAAGGTTTTTTTTGAAAGGGGGGGGGTTTTATTTTTTTGGAGGGGGGGGAGAAAGGGGAGATGGTTTTGATATTTTAAAATTGGAATTTTTTTTTATGTGGGGGGGTGGGGGGGGTTGGGTTGGGGGGGTGGGTTTGGGTTTGTTTTTAAGGGAGTTATAAGTTTTTGGGGGTGTGGGGGGGGGGGGGGGTGGGGACTTGAACTTTAATGTATATGAGGCGGAAAAATCCTCCCTAAGGGCCTGATACCGTATCCTCAAAAAAAGAGTAAATAAGGTAGCTGCAAAAGGCCACATTCGCCTAGTTTCTTTCGCGAATTCTCTCTCACTCTCTCTCGCTTTCTTTGTCTCTCTCTCCCTATCTCTCACTCACTCTCTCTCTCCGCGCTCTCTCTCTCTCTCTCTCTCTCTCCTCTCTCTCTCTCCGCATAGAGCAGGCTATTTTGATGTTATTCCATAACAAAAGGGAGGATGGGCGGGGAACGGTATGCTGAAAACGGCTGACTCAGGATTTCTGGGAGGCCCTCCTCGGCTCGACACAAAGTGCGCCACCTCTCCGCCGCGTACAAAACACGACGAAAAACACAAGAAATATCACGGCTGTAGGAAATGGCTTTTCGCAGCTGTGTTCGAAATGTCGAGGCAAAAGAGGAAAACATTGAGGGTTTTTTGAAGCGCAAAAACATCGAAAAAGTGTAGAGAATATGCAAATCGCAGAAACGTCGGATTTTGATAAAATAATAGGGCGAAAGATAGGTTAAAACCTAGTCAAGGGCATTTAGAGGTATCTAAATGTAATTTGGAAGCATGGTAATCACAAAAATGCGGTGGAAAAGGACAAAGGTTATTCAAAAACTACAAAAACGGATTTCCAGTCTTCAGTGGTCCATAAAGTATTTTGTCTAGTGAAATTCTAAGCTTTTCTGAATTGTATAAAAAACTCTTTAGATGTATGGACGACACTTAAAGCGACTTACAAGCTACAAAAATAGCGTATTTGGCAAAACAGTCAAGCTGACAATCTAGGCGTAGGCGAGGCTTAGGCTTCTTAGGCTGAGGTTAGGCTTAGGCTTAGGCTTGGGTTAGCTTAGGCTTAGCGTAGGCTAGGCTTCGGCTTAGCTCAGGCTCCCCCCATGCTACTCTAGCCTCGATCTCAAAAACGTATCCCCATCCCGCCAGTTTATAGACCAGGGGCCCCGGGAGTGCTTTTGCTTTGCCCTTCCCCCCTACCAAGTGGAGCAGGTGTGAAAAAGGGGCGTTCGGGAGGCAAGCACATGCCGCCGCTAGTGATCAGGAGCTCCGCCCCGCTACACTTTACGTCTCTTTACGCCTAGGGGAGTTTTTTGGGTATCTCGCCATACACTGGAACCCTATCAGCCGAGGCGTTACGGTTTCGGGTGATTGATGATTGGGCCATTGGCCTCAGGGGGTGGCCGCTGCCAAAACAGTTGGATTGATGGGGTGTAGTTTCTAGAGGATTTCTGCAAGTTTAATGGGAACGAGGTGTGCAGAGGAACTCAAGGAAATGAGTCAGCTTACCTAGAAAAAAGGAAAAGTTTTGGAAGGTGCAAAAACTACAGAAACTGGAGGCGCTAATCGGGTTGGGCAAACGGTTTAGCACGATCCGGGCAAAAATCGTAGGTCCTGTTTTCGGAAATATAGAAAATTCCGGTTTCGGCCGATTTTATAGCACAATTCGAAGTTTTTAACTTTAATTCGGACAAAATTTATTTTTAGTCTGAATCTTTCCATATTCCGGTCCCGAGAAGATCCAATTCGGATTCGGTCCATTTTGGGAAAAATTTTTCGAGTTTCGGACTCGGAATTCACGGAAATTTGCTATTCGGAAGAAACCGAATTCCGGCTAGTGCCCGTCTCCGGTTGAGTTTTTCGGGAGCAAAGTCTCATGAAAATCGAATTTTGCAACCACTAAGATAAATTTAAAGAACCATTGAAGGCAAAATGAGCTGGATTT